AAAATGAAGAAGGGTCTGGGCCCGAAACGTCAGCTTTCCTGCTCCTCTGATGCTGCTGGGCCTGCTGTGTTCATCCAGCTCTACACCTTGTTATCTCAGATTCTCCAGCATCTGCAGTTGCTACTATTTCTATAACAATACACAGTTCATTTTACAATCTCCCTACTGGTTGCACACTGTTATTTTCAGGTTGGACTTGTGACTATAACCTATGTATGGAAAGTTAGAGGAAGAATCCACGTGTGTTAAAATACTTTATGGTCATCGTGTGTTTAAATGGGCATTTAAAGTACCCCTAAATAATCAACGTGGGGTGAAATTTTTTACTGAAAAGGAGCGTGTAGTTTGTATTCTATGATTTTTACATACACAAAAATGTACGGTTCAGCGAATTAAAAATGCAATTTCATTGACTCGATTTAACATCCAGTTAACAATCACTATCCCAACGATAGGTCATGAATATTTGACGTAAAGTAATGGCTTAAAGGTAAATACTGCCACCTGACAAGGAACATGTTGTTTTGTAAATGCAGCAGAGAAAGATTTGGATTAAATTGGGGGTTTCCTGCGTAATTGGTTGAAAACTAGTTCAACTGATGTGTTAGGTGTCTGAATAAACAGTAATAAACGTTAGCGCAGCCCTTATAACTTACACTACAGTGGACTTATGATTGGAATCAATAAATATACTGAATAAACTTTTTAAGTTAATTTAGTTAGGGCTGTATAAAATAATCCTCTAAGGCGCTTCTTTACGCCATGTCTGTAATTGAGTTGATACATTTAGTTAAAACATCGAATCGGCGAAGTACTTAACAACTGCAAGTTTGACCTAAAGGCATGGACTGTTTCATGTGAGCGGGAATGGTTGCTATTAACATGCAACAGGATGATTAACATCAAAGTAATCCTCTATTTACACAAGAAAAATACTAATAGCATGTTGACTAACAGGTGAGAAGCAGTTCATTACCAGATCCCTGGATTTTCTACATCTGAGCGTTTCTTCTTCGCCTTCCGAAGGCATTGGCCCCCACGTCGGTCGGGACGAAGTCGCTGTTGCCCATTCCTCCGGTCCGGCTGAGGAAGTCAGCCAGGCGGTGAGTCGCACAAGTGGCTGTCTTGCAGGCTCTCTTCTCCAAAGGAATACTGCTTCACAGACGGAAACAAAAACACCTCTCAGGTTAAATCGACAGCCCATGGGACAAAACATTAAGCTTTTCCCTTCAATCATTTGTTGCTGAAAGACCTGGTGTCTAGGTACGATAGAAAGCACAGGAACAGGCCACTCATCGGCCTGTTCCTCCAATCCTTCTGCACCTATCCCTTTTGGTATATCCTAATGTATCTTTCCACCATGTGCATTTTGATTTTCCTTAAAAGCAATTCTGCTGTCACCACTTAACTGGCCTAGATCAGTTATGCATGAATGTATATGTCCAAAAGTCACACAGCTGCTGGCATTGATGCCGGGAATGTTACTCAGTGCTGACGTGATTAGAATGCTTAATGTAGTCTCAGCAGCAAAAAGATGCGATTTCCATTTTTACCTAAGTTGCTTTCTACATCGAACGTACGTCAGACATTGGCTTCTGGCCACAGACCTGGGACTTTAAAAGAGACCGCAAATGCCACAGAATTGCTATCAGAGTCAAAGGGACACAAGAATGTAGAAACAAATAAGATAATGACAGTACCCTGGGAAAGAAACAGAAATATCTACCGAGGGAAAATAATGACAATATTGAGTTACAAAATGTAATCTTTCGTAATTGAAATGGATACGCTGCAGTCAGTCAAAAATGCTTGAAATTGCAAGCTGCAATTTCCATTTCAGTGGTCAAGTATGTCTGGAATCTAATCCATTTGCCAAATTACGGGAAGAACGTGCTAGAGCTTGTGCCGTTCTGAGAGCTTTCAGATTTTAATTCCCCCAGCCTGATGTAAGCAACTCCGCAAGAGCTTCATTTGTGGCCACGGAGCAGGATCCTTTTACTGGGAAGGGTCAACGTTAGATGACACAACCTTACAAAGAAAAAAGTACGGAAAAAAAGGAAGGTATCAAAAAATTAGAAAACCCTGTTTGATAAATGATTTCAAATGTGGAATCATTTAACGTTTTAAAAAACGCTTAGTGAATCAAGTTGAAGAAGAGAATACTTTGAAGTTTGCCTTTATTAGAGCAATCAGTACATCATCTAAACGTTGCAATGAGTGTTGGATCAATTGACTTTTTTTAATTTTCACTGAATATCGTTACTTATAAATATCCAATTGCAATTAAACATTATACATGACGGAAGGAAACTGGCCTTTGACTTTTAAAAATGTCTAATTCACCAAAAACAGAAGTAGCTTTTGGATATTTATAAAGTTTCTCATTTCAAAAATGGTAATGTGAAAGAGTGAAACTTCTGCACTAATTATTAAAAGTCATTGCATCTTGAATCCTTGAGTCTAGCACATAATAGGAAAAAATGTTCCAGGTAGAAAAATAAGTTTATTGAAAAAAGACCCACGTTATGCACGAAGAAGCATTCATTTAATGACACGCTGTTTGGCGCAGAAGGCAGTAAAACTCTATAATGAGAAAATCAGTTTTAAAGCTAAAACTATATTAAAGCTATAATAACGGTTAATACACTATTCTAATTTATGTCCATGTCTAGAATTCTTCGTCAAAAATTGAGATGGAAAAGAAACATAGCACTTAATCAGGCTGTTTATCATTCAAGCATTTAAGATTCATGCATCACAACAAACGATTAGTTGCTTCCAAGTGGCTCTCCGTAGTTTGAATAGCGTTCGTTTTCCAGCTCGGTGAGAATGTTCCTTTTCTTGCCAGGAGTTGTCGCTCCTACGTCAGTGCGCTGGATGGTTTGTAATTTGTGCAACTCCTGGGACAACTTTCCCACCACACAAGTGCTCAGACCCGTGCACCGTTTGACAATGGATCTATCCAAGCTGCAGAAAAAGAACATGCAAAAAAAACTCATAATAACGCATGCGGGGTCATGCATGTAATGTATGTTCCATGTAACTACAAGCAATTGTTACATGCAAAATTATCTACACTGAGAAATGATTATTCACTGTTGAATGCTATATACTCGTTATTGCATCAAGGTGTCTTGCAAAAAGGATGGCCATGCACTTTTCTTCGGTTCGAAAAATAGAATAACAGTTTTGTTCCAAAGTCTATTCATGCATTTTGAACCAAGTGCTGAAATAAAACCGGCTTTATATATTTTTTAAATGAACATGCATAACGTTTGCACCCTATCAAGCATGGTTGCATACTTGTTCCTGTAATTTGCAGGCATAACAACTTTTCCATCATTCTTTTCCCATGCAAGGTCAAGACAGAACTGAACTTTTCTTTAATAGAGTATGTCGCTTATTGAAAACATACCTTTTGATCCCAATCTTCCTTTTAAAATAATCTATTGATTTTCCTCAAAATTTCAAAACCATTTTGACGTTTTATATCAGATAATTCTGGGTGATTCACGGGAAAACAAGTTAATTGAATATTATTTACCAAGACTGTTATATTAGAAAACAATATCTCTGCACTTTTCCAATCAACATCTGCTGATAGAAGTGACTCCACTCTTAAAGCAAATCTGAAAACATGTTCTTTGTATTATTTAACAAGTATTAAGTCTCATACAATATCACTGAACCATATCCAAGACCCTTCACTGCAATCCAAATATATGCGTTCCCTTACCTATTGGCATCGGCTACTTCTTGTTCCAGCTCTTCTGCCATCATTTGAATGAATTCCTTAACGAGCGCATTCAGTAGTCGTCGAACTTCGTAATCATTGAGCGCCACCCTGCCTGAAGCTGACTCCAGCACAGATCTAAATCAAAACCTCACAAAATGAGTACGGACTGTTTTTCTATACAAATCAATAAATGATCATTAGCCATTCCATTGTCGCTAAAGTATAAAAGCCAGGACTTTTGTGCAGTTCTAATTGATGATGTAGGACTCAGAGAGCAAACATCATTACCACCCTGAGCGTTAAATCACTTCAAGAGATCAGACTTGTTTCAGTTGCACCAGTCATGGCACCAGCAGTGTTTGATTTATTACTACTAAATTCAGCCTTGGCTCAGTGGGACATTGTCCCGCTGACTCAGCGTTCAAGCTTCATTCCAGAGAATGGAAAGCATACTGGCTGTCACTCTAGTGCAGGAGTCACTACAAGAAGTGTTGTCTTTGCAGTCAGACATAGCCCCTTCTGTCCTAAAACAGCAAGTGCTGGAGAAACACAACAGAACTGACGAGGGGACACTGGGACAGGAAACATTTACTGTTTCTCTGTACAGATATTGCCAGACTTGCTGAGTTTCTCCAGAAATTCCGGTTTTCGCTTTAGAACTCCAATATCCGCAGTTCTTGGTTTTTGTCCTCTTGGGTGAATTTTTAAAAATCGCTTATCACTCAATCAACATCTCTAAAATCAAGCTTATCTAATTATTTAGCTTCTGGCTGCCTGTGAATTCCTGCTGCTTCCGAATTTGGCTGCTGTTTTCCCTACGTTATGACAGTGATTAGTCCTCAAAAGTACTTCACTGGAAGTAAAACTTTGTAAGACACCTCGTCATGGTGAGAAATTTAATCTAGATACTTTTTTTGCTGCCTCTAAACTTAAATCCATGAAAAGTTAAGCATGCACTATATGCGAAAGTAGTCTTGATATATCTGCATATTTTAAGTTCCCTCTTAAAACCAATGCCTTAACTTCCGTTTCCATTTCGACTGTTTTCTTAACTTGTTTCCAGAATTCCGCCTCATATATGGTTTTCATCAACAAGAACAGAAATTGCTGGAGAAACACAATGGGTCTAGCAGCATCTGTGATGAGAAAACAGAGTTAACGTTTCGAGTCCAGTGAGACTTCCTCAGAACTGCAAAGCCCAGATTCTGTTTTCTCTCCACAGATGCCGCCAGACCTGCTGAGTCTCTCCAGTAACTTCTGTGTTTTTGTTTCAGATCTTCAGCATTCACAGTTCTTTGCTTTATTTTAGTTTTCTTCCTTGCCGCTTTTCAAAGAGGATAAACCGTCAATAAAACAGTGCAAATGTTACATACACATTACTGCGAGCATAAACCCGAACAAGCGAACAACTTTAATTTGATTTTACTAGTTTCGGATTGTGTTGACTGCATCCGACTCAATACTCCGTGGGCAACTAAGTTATTAAGGGGTAATATTGATTATGTGATCAGTAAATACAGCTACGTCCATTGGCATCCGATTAACACTACGAGAGAAAATGCAGAATATTGTACATATTGTGCCTACCTGAGGGGAACTGCATGGGAACGGTTTATCTGACATACAAAAACAGCACAAACCACAAAGAAAGCGGAGATCTTCAGCAGAACCATGTTTCTGAAGGCAAGACAAAAAAGCACGATTACCCAAACCATAGAGCATTGTACTGCAGCTCTCAAAATATCACTCCAGGGCGCCACCCCAAGGCACTTCAGCAAATGACATGTGCTGCGTTTCCTCCCCTTTTCTAGGGCTGAAACACGAAATTGTCGGAGTGATAGCCAACATAAAACGTGAGTAAGAAAAAAAAAGGTGAAAAAATGTACTGAACAGAAAAGATAACGGTAATAAACTTAAAAGGTGCTGGTATCCAAATTGGATAAAATCAGAATCTGGGCAGAAATATGCAAGAATTATTGCTCAATCGATAAAATTTGACAGCACTCGAGCTACCCAGTTAAGTAATGGATTGTGTAATGAATTATCAATGCTGCCGATGGCATTACACCTCGGCTTCAAGCACCTAAAAGTTCAACTGAATGATGACACGGCTGTCATCGTGGCTTATTGGACTAATGATTTACTCAAAGTCGAGCGCTGCCACAATTTAGCCATGACTGATCTAACAATGACTAGTTTGCGACTTCATTCAGAATATGCTCGATATTCCACTCAGAAGAAAAACCAGCTGTAAGAAAATAGCTATCGGTGGGGAAATGAGTACAAAAGATTCTTGCCAAAATTGTTTTACAAATCTATACGTAATTAAATCTTGCAATGCCTTATCTTTCAATGCAGCGTTTTGCTAAATCTGACTTAGGCAATATACATACTTACAAACAAAAACAGAAGTTGCTGAAAAAGCTCAGCAGGTCTGGCAACATCTGTGAAGAAAAATCAGTTAATGATTCGGAGCCTTCATGAAGGCCGAGCTTTTCCAGCAACTTCTGTTTGTTTCTGATTTACAGCATCCGCAGTTCTTTCGGTTGTTACCTATACATAGAGTTTTCTAGACTGGTCTTATATCAAATAGACTCATTCAAGTTATTTCCAAAGGACTACCGATAACAAAGCAAATCTTATGCTATATAAAAAGGAGGTAAATATCAGACCTTCCAGTCAGGTGCAATGGTAATTCTTGGCGGCATCATAACGTTTGCAGAGAAATATATTGGTGAATAAAAGCTAATGTAACTGGCATCTTGACGTTTCTCTCGTTATAAGCAAAGATAAATGTAAAAACATTGATTTCCAGACTACCCGGTATTAATTAAAGCACACCAAAGTTTCGGTGGAATATGCAGAGTCAATTAACATGCAGCAAAGTAAAGGAGTGTAGGCAAAATAGCGAACGTCGTTGACATAGCTTTTTGGAAAACTATATAAACGACTAACACAGTTGCATCCTCTTACCTTTATGATTCACAAAGCAAGTTTCTTCTTTAACTTGGCTTTTTTAACTCTGGTACTGTTGGTTGCCGAACGTCCATCCTTTTATATCCAACGTTGCCGGCTCTTTGTTGTTCAGTGAGTGGGTGTACGTTCGTCAACAAGCTGCCAATCATAAATCTAAACTGCAGCAAAGTGCCAATCCGCGGGGGCCAGCCGCCTCGCCCCGCTCATGACGCTGTCATTCCCCGGCGCTCCATTCACAAAGTTACCTATCACGTGACCGGTCGGTCCAGGTCTACTTGCATTGAGGTCATTTAGCGTAAAGCAAATCAGACGATTAATGGACAGTCTAGAAAATCATCTCGATCAATTAGTGTTTTATGGTTACTAAAACTGTAACATTACGTGACTCCTAAATGCCAAGAGTCTGCTTGGTCGGCAAAGAAAGCAAAGGCTGGTCACTTTGTACAGAGCGACATCTGCTGCTGAATTCATCCAGTACAGCGGCGTAAATCTGCCGCATCGAACTCCATGGGCAATTACAGTACATTCAGTAGTACTTGCCTCGCTGTACTTCCAAATACAAAATTTCATAAGGATTTGATTAAGACATGTTAAAAATGGGTAAATACTTTTCCCTTTTTTGTGTAAATTGTATGCTGTAAATTACAACAAACGCTGCAGCCAGCCTAGCAACAATTTATTTTTATGGTTGCATTTTGTTCAACCAAATGCCCGTGTAAAAATAAAGTGAAGAACGAGTTTAATTCTGATGTCACAGTGCTTTGATATCAATTCCAAAATTCCATTTTGCATCAATTCAGAAGCGCAACGATTTTAGAAGTCTGTCCCGGGTGCAGTAAAGTTTGTATGTGGGTTTTGCCCCGTAAAACTAGCGGTGAATGTGTCATCAGGCTGTGATTTCTAACGTGCACCTAACGAAAAACAATGGGCAGATCGAAACAGAGCAACACTTCAGCACTAAAAATGTTTTTGATATTCTTTGGGAGAATTTGAAAGTGGTTTCGCATTTGAAAGTATTGGATGATGTTCATCTTTATTGAAGCCGGGACTATCGTGTAACTTAATAATTCACTTCAGCGAAAATCTCGAGAAGTCGTGTGCCTTGTATTTTCTATTCTCAGTTTTGTCAGAACACCCGTTCAATGGATCGAAGCAGTGCTGCTTGAATTGTGCACTCTATCATTCCTGTTGAACCGAAGTTGCCGAAAACTATTTGCCAGAGTTGCAGAATCAAAAATAAAAGGATTAGGTAAGGCGATGAATCATTTGGTAAAGGGCTAGACTGGTACAAATTGATTACTCCGGAAACACTCACAATTAAATCAAGAAAAAGACTTATTTTGCCAGTTTTTTTCATGAATAACAACCGTGTCATAATGCGTTTGACTAGCAAGTGCGCCTTACGTCATGTTCGTGATCCATTAGGAGTATCTGAGCTTCCTTGCAGCTGAGCTAAGTCAGACAGAAATAACTGCGCTCGTAAATTACAGTCAAAGGAAGGCTAGACTCCAAGCTCTGATGCTTGTAGCTTCGAACTGAGGAGAGGCTGCGTTTGGAGTGAAGTGGGCTCACTCGATGAGCTCTCTGTGGTGCTGAAAGGTCGAGTTCCATTTCCAGTCTTTCTGAAAACAATAATGATAGCAGGAATCAAATTGCTTCCTGGAGCTGGGCCGCGAGTTTATGATGAACAAAGACAGTGTTTATTCAGCTATCCATTAAGTTAATGCGCGGGATTATTTCTGTTTGTTGTTCTTTTTGACCGGTGGAAGCGGTAATTAAGATCTGTGCAGCTGCAGGATGTGGATGACATTATTTGGGTAAAATGTGAGCCGGACTTTGAGAAGGAAATGGGGTTGATTAGATAAAAGCGGCGGGTAAACTACTTTTAATAGAAATTAATCAATTGGGAAGGCAGGCGTCCATTCATTGGGCGCTGTTAGTCTAAGTGCAGTTAAAGACCGAGTGGTAATATAACTCGGATCATTAAGACAGTCAAGAGCAGTGTTGATTTTGGAAGCAATATTTGCCTCTTTCACGTGATCATGAATATGTGGCACACTCCTCAGAAACCGGGCCCACTTCCCCGGTAGGTACTCTTTTGGGGGAATAAAGGCTGTATGCAGGTTTCGTGTTCAGCTGGGCAGGATATCAAGCCCACCAGCGTTTGAAGTGTATTACGGTGGTACGAGCCATTCTAAAGTTGACCAGCTCAGTGCAATCCTTCGCTGCCCCTTTTCCTAAAATCCCGGCTAGAAATGGTAGGGAGTACAGTTGAACATTAATGTCAATGAGGAAACGGAATTTGTTCCATTGCTTTCCAGGATTGCATTGATTTCATTGTCAGCCCTCGAGAAGACCAGACATTGACTTTGAGCAATTTATTAAAAAGCACGGAACTTAAATTTTGGCTAACGAGGAGGCAAAAAGATCGGAAAGATTGGATATTGAAATATTTAAAATAGAACGATGTGTAAAGAGCTGTTGCTGATAAAGTAATTTTGGAACCTTTATTAGAGTCATACAGCATGGAAACAGACCCTTCAGTCCAACTAGCCCACGCTGATCATGTTCCCAAACTAAACTAGTCCCACCTGCCTGTGTTTGGCTCATATCCCTCCAAACCTTTCTTATTCATGCACTTACCCAAATGCCTTCTAAATGTTGCAACTGTACCTGCATCCATCACTTCTTCTGGCAGCTCATTCCACAAACGAAATATCATAGTCTTTCTAAAACTTTCTCCCCTCTCTTTAAACATATGCCCCCTAGTTTTGAACTCCCCCACCCTAGGGAAAAGATCTTTGCTGTTCACCTTATCTATGCTCCTCATGATGTTATGAACCTTTATATGGTTAGTCCTCAACCTCCTACGCTCCAGTGGGAAATAGTCTCAGTCTGAAGAATACCGAGAATACTCATTAATATTTTAATAGACTTATTACTCTTATCTCCTGAAGTCGAATCTACCAAAGAGTGATTGTTTTTTTTAGACGAGTTTGAACAATATTTCTCAGCGGAGCGGTGCTTGTTATAACAATGCTGTAGAGGTTGTTGACGATAAGGGCACTTGTATAGACTCACTTCGCTGTCACCGGAACATTTCTACATGGTTCAGTGTTTGATACTTTCTCTCAGGGACTAAACGTGTTGTGTGATATTTGCTGCACAATAAAATGTTTGTTGCAAAGTACCTGTGTGCGCAATTCCGCAATAAGTTCGTGTCATATCTATTCGATGGTCACTTTTTGTCAAGTTATTTGAGACATTTATTATTTACTACGTACTTACTGAACCAATTTATGCCGACAACCCATTTCTGCGGTTGAAGTGTGTAAACAAGATTAGGTGGCGCTCCTTGGAATACAATGAGCCCAATGTCTATACTCACTCTGGATGGTGTCTGAGCGGGAACCTTGTAATGATAGCACTCTGTTCGTTTGATTGGGGTTAGATTTGAGCACCTTTTCGAAGACAAATCCGGTGTAAGAAAGTAACCCGGCCATTTCAATGTTTATTATTCAGCCTTTAGTTAGGAATCTAATTATAAATCCTGGAGATTTTGGGAAAATCAAATACTGGTCAGACAGTGAACTAGTTGGATGTACTGAGCTGTTCCCGCTATCCACAAGGGGCAGTTTGTGTTCCTAAGGGTCAGATTCCAAACTCCACCCACCTCCCCCCAACCCCGCCCTCCCCCCCGCACCCCACCCCCCACCCCGCCACAAAAGAAGCAAAGAGCTTCAGCATTGACCTCGCGTTCATAAGTCATCTCATATTCTGGTCCTGGTTCAAATTATTTATTTCCCCGACTTAAATATTCCACTAGACAAGTACCTCGTGAGGAAAGAGAAGCATATAGGAAGGAGAATGTGACCACAAATAAAACAATCTCAGTCACTTCGTAAACTATTGAAGGGGGTTCAGTACCCTGCAGGTACCCTGTAGGTCTGCAGGGTTTATCAATAACGTTCCTGCGTCCAGATTTAAACGTTAATGACAATTGCGGTTGTTTAGATTATTCGCGCTGCAGTACACTGCTCCTTCAATTCCTGATCTTCAAAGCTACGGCAAGCATTTTTTTTAAAAAAAATCAACAGAAGGCGCTCAGTTTCCTTCTACAACACCTAGACCTCCCTTCATATTTTTCTGAGCGTCTATACTCACATCCCCATCCACCTTGGAAACCTTGCAGTATCCTCTCCTGTTTCAATCCCATTCCCAGAACAACACATAAAATCAGAGATTTACTGGCCCTCTCTCCACCCAGTGACAAATATTCCCTTATGACGTTTGAGTCCACCCTTCAAAACCCAAAGCTTGTCTTTAGACCAGCCTTGTCAAATCGGGCACATTCTTCGCCTCGCACAATCGAAAGAAAGCTCTCCAGAGAGGGACAGCAGAGAAATTGTTCGCCATGATCAGAATTTGCCAATGGGTGTTATCCTGGTCTGCAACTCCAAGTTAAATTAAGCCCTTCATTTTGGGATATTTCGCCATATTTGCTGGAATCCTTTAACTGGAGTTAAATTATTTTCCCCAATATCAAGGAAAACTTCAGGTTACCGAGTTTCACGACAGTAACCTCCCTCTGGGACGGGATTAGCGTAGTGGGAGGAACATTGAAATCTCACGAATGTAACACGCTCAGTTAGTATAGGAGACAGAGCTAGAGTGTAGTGGGCAGATTTTATAAACCACATTTGGACTCGTCCACTCCCGGACATATTGTTTTACCGGAATCCGATTTGAGAATTCCAAAAAGTGCATTTAACTAAACCCTTCAGCATTTTGAGTAAAATCTTGCTTGCTCACGAGGCTTATCGGGTCCTCAAATGAACGCAGAAGGTTGGTGGCACAATTGGAAACGGCAGAGTCTCCGTGGCCAAGCTAGTACCACTGCAGCATTCTCTCCAGGCTCCCTTTGGAAACAGGAATTCAGCTTGAGGAGGACATACGGAGTCTCTGAGAGCACAGAATGGAGATCGAAATACTGCACAAAATCCAAAAAAAAGTTCCTGCGCCTGAGCTGAGAAGCGTCAGAAATGTTCCTCCAAGGGACCTTATCATGAGATCCGAACAAACAGATTCACCTTCTCATCGCAAATTGTAA